CTTGTTTAGAGTAGCTATCACATCGTGTACCACCGGTGGTACACATGGCACAAAACAATTATTCTCGATGTTACGCATGCTATCGTGTATATATTTGCGTGGTATTCTACGTAAGTTTCCTCGTCCCTTTGCTCATGTTGTCCCCAGTATCGTCTAGTACGAAAAGTTGTATTTTCATTTGTTTATGTATATGTATCTTCACATCTATCTGATAATGTAAATGCACTTTTGAATACGCATTAATAGACGTACTTGCGATGTAGCGTGCTTCCATTTTGGAAACTACTGTTAACAATAGGCCGCTCGAATGCGAACGAATATGGAAATGATGAATATTTAATCAACTGAATTGAACGAGGCCTGTATCAATCGGTGAAATTGGTGGCCTGCATGCTGCAAATTTCCACCCTGCGCATTGGAACAGACATGTGCATTTCAATTTTGATATTGATCGTGGCCCCTAATTTTAGGCATGGTGCGGCAAGCAAAGCGATCTACTTGTGTATGTAAATACACTGTAGCACAAACTGGCAAGTGGAGACAAGTGGAGGGTATCTGCTGGTGGATTTGTTTGAATGCGAAGTGAATGCTCGTAAGATAATATATATCGCGTTAAAAATTTTCAAATCTGTGATAAATAGCCACTGAACTGAAACTGAGAGTAAAAAACAAAAGCATTCCTTTTCAAATACTTATTACTCCAATGATCATTCTCGATATTTCATTCGCGAATGAAAAACACTTGACTACTGTGTACCAAAATTCGCCTCGTATTTGTGAATTTTGTTATAAATATTTGTGGACTTTATCACGCAGTTAAGTCGTGCGAGCAGTCGCTTCACTCGATGAAGCAAACTTTTAACTATTTTAACCCCTAATTACTATTCATTGAGTAGTGAAAGGCAGCCGTGAAAAAATTTAAGTTTCACATTGATTAATTTTGAAATTTTTTAATTTGATCTACTATCGTTACTAATCTCTATCGGAGGGAATATAAAATACACCTGGTACAAACAAGTAATGTTATTCAAAATATTCAACAATACACGACATCAAAGAAGCTAAATCGTGCAACTCACCGATCATTGAGCCGAGGACTACAGCATTTAGTTGTGACTTGATCGTGTTTGCTACCTGTAGCGAATTCACGAACACTGATTCTTCTGTTTCCCAAGCTATGCTAAGTCTTTAGATAGCATCTTTGGCACTTTGACATGGTCCACGATCCTTTCACACTACGCACTTTCTACACTGATTTCATAGAACGTAAACTCGCAAAACGTTCCACGCACTTTCTCGCAATTTTAACAAATACCAATGAAATGTAATGAAACGATGTATTGAAACGTATTACCTGTTGCAAATAATTTATTTAAAAGTACTAGTGTTAGAAATTTGTTTCTTACATCAAAGAATGTTGTTAAAGTTCAATTTATGACTGTATCATACGCTCGCGTATGAGTAAAGAGAACAATTGATAGTTTTGCAAC